CTCTGTCTCTCTCTAGTCGGTTTTGTCTCTAGGAAGATGAATGAAGAGTGATGCCAAGCATGGGTAAATCAAGACTAATAGATGGCCTAGCATTGTCCACTAATGGCAATTTGGTAAATAACTCAAATTGATGTAATATAACCTTTTAATCTAATTTAATTATTCTAAATCACATTTCAATCAAATCTACCATAAAATCATATAAATTCTAATTAACATAAAACATTAATCGATTTCAGATTCGACCGCCGATAAGGCCTTCAATTTACCGTTCAAACTTAAAACATGAATAGACTAATTAACAGTCAAACAGATAGAAATGCGTTTAAACTAATACACTCAATCAATCGGTTCAGAATGTCAGTCAAATTAGTTACTTAATCATGTTCAGTCACAGTTTAGCAGTAATCAGTGGTATTATCAGTAAACAGTGGTGAGGGTTGTCACAGCGAGCCTCTTATTCTGGTCCTCAGGGTTCTCGTGGAGGTGGTTCCCGTAGTGGTGGATTCCGTGGAGGCGGTAGTATTGGACCTGGTGGTAATAGTGGACCTAATTCCCGTACACATGGTGATCGCAAGTGTACTCACTGTGGTTCCTAAGGTCATACTGAACCTTGGTGTTGGCAGAAGTATGTTAAATCTGATCATGTGCATTAGGTTATGGATGCTCCATCCTCACAATCAACTGTGTTTTCCACTGGTTTTATTGCTTCTCCAGTGGATTTTCATAAAACTCTCACTACTCAGATTAATGAGCTTATCGCTCTTGTCCAGTCTCTTTGGCCTAGTCTGCCTTCATCCTCTACTGTTACTATGGCTAGTTCAAGTAATGTTGCATGTGTGACCAAGTCTACTCAGCCTTGGCTTCTAGACTCTGGTGCTAGTTCCTATATTTTTGGTAATTCCTCTCTTTTTGATACTTTTTGGCCTATTGATCATACTATTATCCTTGCTAATGGATCTTCTCGACATGTCAGTGGCCAAGGTCATCTTCATCCCACTCCATCCATTTCCTTATCTTCTGGTCTTTATGTTCCTAAGTTTTCATTTAACTTGCTTTCTGTTAGCCAATTGACTCAAGCTCTTCGCTGTTCCATAACTTTTTCTTCCATTTCATGTGTTTTACAGGACCTCCAGACCAAGAGGATAATTGGTTTAGGGCATGAGAAGGATTGTTTATACTTTTTGGACACTGAGACTTCTCCTCATCCTTCATCTACTGTTTTGAGCACTACTATATCTCTTCTTTAGTGGCATTTTTGCTTGGGCCATCCCTCTTTGGCCAAGCTCAAGTTAGTTGTTCTTGGTTTGAGTCATGTTTTTAAAATTGAGTGTGAAGCCTGTCAACTTGAAAAGCATCACCGTAGTTCTTTGCCTAGTCGTAGTGTTAGTCGTGTGTCCGAGTCGTATGTTCTTGTCCATACAGATATCTGGGGTCCTTCTAGAATTTCCACTATTAATGATTTTTTTTATTTTATATTTTTTATTTTGTTATTTTTGTGGATGATTACTCTTGAATGACTTGGTTATTTTTAATGAAATAGCACTTTGATTTGCCTTTTATCATTTCTAAATTTTATAATGAAATCTTTACTCAATTTGGGAAACATATTAAGATATTTCAGTCTGATAACCTTAGAATATGTGCAGTCTATTGTGACTACTTTTTGTGATGCTCGTGGTATTATTCATTAGACTAGTTGTTCTCATACATCTTCTCAACATGGTATTGCGGAGCGAAAACACCGTCATTTGGTAGATGTTGCTCGCACACTGATGTTTAATAAGCATGTTCTTAAACAGTTTTGGGGTCTCACCGCTTGTTTCTTTATTAACCACATGCCCTCTAGTGTTGTATACACATCTCCATATTATCAATTATATCCCACATTGTCTCCTTTTCACTTGTCACCTCGTGTCTTTGGCTGTATTGCATTTGTCCATGTTCTTGACCCCGGTTTGGATAAGTTATATCCTTGTGCTCGCAAGTGTGTTCTTAGGCTACTCTCGTACTCAGGAAGGGTATCAGTGTTATCATCTTGAATCACGTCGATGCTTTGTTAGTGCTGATGTTACCGTTTTTTAGTGAACCCCCCTTTTCTTATCCTCTGGGCAACAGTTATCTACTGATCTTCTTTTTTGTTGTGAGGGGGAGCCCGCCACCCTCACCCCTCTCTTCTATCTTGTGATCCTTCCTTCTCTTTTTCTATATCTTCTCCCTCCAGTATCACCTTTACCCTTTATTTGCAGGTTTATCAACAGTCTCAAGCTCGTTGCATTGTGTCTTATGGCCCGACCAGTTCATCCCTTGCGTTTAAGGTTCCTGACTCCCCTATTCCTTCTGCCGACGTGCCCTCTAATGATTGTCGTATTGCCCTTTACAAAAGTAACCGCACTTACACTCAACATCCTATTCCTAATTTTGTTTCTTATGATCGTCTCTCTCTCGGTATTCACTCCTTTGCTTGTAACTTGTCTAGTATTTCCATTCCTCGTTCCTATCAGCAGGTCATGTCTATCTTTGGTTGGAAGCATGCCATGGATGAGGAAATGCATGCCCTTCATAAGAATCAGACATGAGAACTTATCCCTCTACCTTTTGGCAAATATGTTATGGGTTGTCTTTGGATTTATACTGTTAAGTATCTTCCTGATGGGACTGTTGAGCGGCTTAAGGCTCACTTGGTAGCCAAAGGCTACACACAAACCTATGGTGTTGATTACCAGGAGACTTTCTCTCTTGTGTCTCGTCTTTACTCTGTTCGGATCCTTTTCTCTGTCGCCGTTAGTAAGTCTTGGCCATTATATCAACTTAATATCAAGAATTCTTTTCTTCATGGTGATCTCCAAGAGGAGGTCTATATGGATCAACCCTCTGGCTATGTTGTTTCCGGTCATGAGCATCTTGTTTGTCGATTGCGGAAGGCTTTGTATGGTCTTAAGCAATCCCCTCGTGCCTGGTTTGATTGTTTTAGTGCTGTTGTGATCGCCTATGGTTTTAGCCATTCCACCTTTGATCACTCTGTCTTTGTTCGCTACTCGTCTACTGGGAGTATTGTTCTTATTGTTTGTGTTGATGACATAACCATTTCTGGGAGTGATTTCATTGGTATTGCTGATTTGAAGCGGTATTTGGGACAATAATTTCACACCAAAGACTTGGGTCATCTTTGGTATTTTCTTGGCATTGAAGTTGTTTGCTCTTCTCAGGGCTTATTTCTCTCACAACAGAAGTATGTTCTTGATCTTCTCACAGAGACTGGCCTCTTAGGCACTCGTTCTAGTGATACTCCCATGGATTTTAGTGTCAAACTTGATGGTGAAACCGGGGACTTGTTTATTGATATTGGTCGTTATTGTCGGTTGGTTGGGAAGTTAATCTATCTCATTGTCACTCGTCCCAATATTACGTATGTCGTGGGAATGGTTAGTCAGTTTATGCATGCTCTCCCTGCGAACCTCATTTTGCTACTGTGTCGAATCTTGCAGTACTTGAAGAGTGCTCCCGGTCAGGGTTTGCTCTATTGCCTATCTTCCTCGTTGTCTGTCACAGGCTTCAATGATGTTGATTGGGCTGGTAATAAGACTGACCGCCGTTCCACCTCCGGCTATTGTACCTTTGTTGGTGGCAATCTTGTTACTTGGCGTAGCAAGTAACAGACTGTCGTTGCTTGTTCTAGTGTCGAGGTTGAGTACCGTGCTATGGCTCATATTGCTTTTGAGATGCTCTGGGTTTAGTCTCTTCTCTGGGATTTTGGCTTTTCTGTTCCCACTCCTATGTGCATGTCTTGTGATAATTAGGCGGCTATCTTCATTGCCACCAATTCCGTGTTTCATGAACAAACCAAACATATAGAAGTTGATTGCCATTTCATTTTTGATCTCTTACTCCGCAAGCAACTTGCGACTCGTTATGTTCATTCTGAAGATCAATTGGGTGATATTCTCACTAAGCCTTGGGCTCGGTCTTTGTTTCATCGTTTATCTGCCAAGCTGGGCATGTTTGATCTCTATGCTCCAGTTTGAGGGGGAGTGTTAGAATAGTTCTTATTTTCTATTTTATTGTTCTTCTGTTAATATTTACATAAGTTGAGAGTACGATGGTCGTATCATTATGTTAGGGTTTGTATATATATTTTGGCTGATGTAATTAATATAATTCAATTCCAGATATATAAAATTCTCTCTTTTCTCTTATCTCTACTTCGTCCTCCAAAACCCTAACCCTAAATTGCCTCATTATACATTCCAACTTGGACTATGTTAGGAGCCCATGAATAGTTGTCTCATACATTAATGGTTTTCTTCACCTATGTTAGCATTTCTATCAGTTATGTTGTGACTTTGATTGTTGAGATGGTCTCTAGCATGAACTCTCCGCTATTTTATTTTTTAACTTATCCATAATGCATAATCCTGTAGTCAATGTTGTTGCCCCCTTAACATTTTCCAAGTAAGTTTATAGTGTTAACTTCGCTAAACAAAAAATTATTTATTTATTTTTATTTATATTTATTTATTTATTTATTATTTTTTATTTTAAATTTAGGTATATGATGGCTCAACTTCAATGTGCCTGAAACTTGAAAGTTAAGTTTGAGGTGGATGAATCCTTTTCATTCCTCTTATTTTTTAGTTTTAATTGACTTGACTAAATACCTCCACACAATCAATTTCAGTTGTTTTTTAGTTGATTCATGATACCAGTTAATTGAATGTTTCCGGCAAGCAGACATTTAAAAGCTTCCAAATTTTGGCTTAAATATTGCAAAATGTATTGTGGCAGTCATGCTTCTCATTTCTATTTTTTTCAGTTTCTTAATTTGTTGAAAATAAACAAAATATCCTGCAGTTATTATTCATTGGAAACTAAAAATTAATGTCATATTTTATGTATTTAGAAATTCATTGATGTTCTCTTCTCTGCTGTGCTGTTAAATAAATGTGCATTAGCTTCAAATTTTATTTATTCCAGCCCTAATTAATTTGTTATGTATGCAGTGGCATTGCTGTCTCTATGGTCATGAAGTATGCTGACAATATTGTGAAGGTGTGGCTACGAATATCACTTTGCATTAAATCATAGTTGTATTAATTCATCTATTTTGTGCCTGCATAATGTGCTGAATCATGCTTGGGCATAGGTCAGCAACATTTGTTCTTTTTATGATACAAAGAATAGAACCAGGATATTGGCTGGAATAGTTAATTTGTCAGTTCAGCGTATGATTTGATATGGTATTTGTTTCCAAACTGATTTGCAACTTACAAGAGAAGGTTCTATACCATATACCTACATTGTTGGGGGTGATGCAAGTTGCAACTTGATGCTTTTTAGTTTGAATGCTTGAGAAAAAACTTGAAATTTCCCCACCATTTTTAAACCGTAGTTTGAAAACCTGTTGGCAGCAGTCGGGACCTAGGCTAACAGATTGTCAGGTTCCTACTAAATTTACGAATTTTTTATATTGTATTTGTCCAAAAAAGGTTTTATTTATTTGGTTTTTATTTTCCTTTCTCTGTTTTTGGGTTTATTCTGCAATCCAAAGTTTTTTGACATTGGGAACTCTCCTATATTTCTAGTCAAATCCTTATATTTTTCTTGTTTTAGTACACACTAAGAAGCGGCATGTTATATTACTTTGATTACTGAGTTACATGCATTATGCTTCTTGCCTCAACTTAAAGAAAGTATTAAGGAAAAAAGAATCACAAGTAACAAAGGACAGGGCATGGCTATTGGTTTCTGAGAGTTTTGATGGAGCGACCTGAAAACTAATGAACAATGAAAGGGGGTTTGTTCAGGAGACCTTGTCCAGCATTCATAATTTCTTTTTCTTTTTTAACATGAAAAAATTGTTATAGGGTGGATTCATGTTACACAAACAAAAATTTACAAGCATATAGAAATAATATCATGTTGCCGTTTTCCAATTTTGTAGTCTGACAAACGTAAGTTCCTTGCAGAAATAACTAAGTTGTTACTGCTTTTGTCAGCTCAATCTTAACTCTCTGGTCATCCATTTGTTTGGATCTGTGAAAATGTTGGATTCATTGATTGAATCAGGTCTATCATGTAATATATTTTATAGAATAGGGCATGCATTATGCAATTTATTTGAATCTCTTGCTTAGCTGTTGGGATTGAATCTTGCAGGTGTATTCTACTTCAGTGGCGATGCTGTTGACAGCAGTTGTTTCTGTGTTTCTATTTGGGTTTCATCTCTCCCTCCCCTTTTTCCTTGGCTCTACGTAAGTTCCTCTAGGTTTATTATGTCCAAGCCTTTTTCTTAGTTATTCAATAAATTTCTGGTCACAAGTTTGATGTTTTTTGATGCATATGGACATCAATGTTGTGTCCTCAACTCTTCAGTCCTGCCATGTTCATGACATGCTTTGGGACTAACTTTTTTTTTTCTCCCGTTATTATGATGGAAGCAGCGTTGTGTCTGTCTCGGTATATTTACACTCCATTGGGAAGCTGCAAAGATAGTGAGGACCTGCTTTCTTCCAACCTGCTTTCTTCCAACCAAATTGCGCTGTCAATGTAGAGGCTAATATTCAGCAAAACTTTTTTTGTTTTTGATTTGTTTTTGGACTGATTCTCTTGAATTTCTAGTTCAAATCTTGGTTTAGATAGGCATGTGATGAAGATATTTTTTTAATGTAATATCTTTGACATTCTAGAAAACAATTTTTTGCAGTGTTGACAGTTGAACATTGAAGGTTAATACAATGGTTATATATATATATATATATATATTTTCCTGGTCGACATTTCAACAGATGGATAGGTTGGTGAATTTCAATAGATAGACAAATAGGTTGATTTCAATAGATATCATTTTGGATAAATTGTGTCTTTTTAGTCCAAAGAGGTTAGAGCTTGGATCTAATGGTCTAAAAGATTAGAAAATAGATTTATGACCTGAAACTCCAAAAATAATTGTATATTTATGATGGTGCAAGTGTGATGTTTGTATGATGAAAGTCCTTCCTATACATGGCAAATTCTCTTGTGGATCAAAGTTGCACCAAAAAAGATTTCTTAATGTACTACAATTATTTTGTGATTGTCTCAATTATTTACCATTTGTTCTTTAATTTGACTATAGTACACTAGCTAAATAAATAAATAAGAATTGACAACAATAGTGGTTGCTACACCGTTGTGTCATTTTTGTTCTGTAAAACGGAAAAATTATCACAGGAGTACATCTCATATTTTATGTTGTATGTTCTTACGATTTTATTAGTTACATACTTATTATTTCTTCTATGCATTACATAAAACAATCAATATAATTAAATTTTTGAAAGATAACATAATTCTTCCGTGCGAAGATATTGATACAGCCTAAATAAATAAAAGAAAATGGTTGAGACCACTAATTAGTGGTAGCAGTAATGATGTGGTAGTGGGTTTAATTCACTGCGACCTTATTTATTTATTTATTTTTCTTTTTTAAGTATGTGTCAACTCACTAGTAGTGTTTTAAAGCACCACTTTTAATGATATGTATCATTGTTGATAAATAAATAAAAGTTAAGAGTACATCTTTAATAAAGCTTCCTTGCTTGCTTACACAAATAAGGAAAGGAGGCATGCAACCAACTGCGGCAGGAGACGCAGTGCCTATACCACCAGGCCACCTCCTGCAACTTGGTTGGTTTTTTATGATTTTTATTTTTAAGGTCAAAACATAGGTGTAGTTTTTTTTGGAGAGATTTGGTGATAGACCCTTCACTGTCTAATTTATCTTTTAAATTGACAAGAATTATATAAGTACTTTCAAAATCTCTTAATATTTTAAAATTTGTTTCTTTTACTATATTACCCTCATATCTATTAGCTCTCCTATTAAGCCATCTTCACAGTATATTTTAGAGTAAAATTTTACTTTGAATCATAGTAAACTTTACTCTGATTCAAAGTAAAGTTTACTATGATTCAAAGTAAAATTTTATATTATTAAGCAAATCAACATGTTTTTAACCAGAATAAAATTTTACTCTGAATCAGAGTAAAATTTACTATAATTTAAAGTGAAATTTTATATCGTTAAGCAAATTAATATGGTTTTAACCAGAGTAAAATTTTTCTTTGAATCATAGTAAACTTTACTCTGAAAGTACAATTTTACCATGATCTAAGGAGAGTATCCACTTTGAATCACACTAAGTGTTATGCATTAATAACCTTGTGTGTTTGGTTACTGAGAAAATTATAAAAACATAACAAGAAAACCAAATATAGTTTGGTTGCTGAGAAAATTAACATGTTTTTTAACCAAAGTAAAAATTCAGAGTAAAGTTTACTATGATTCAAAATAAAATTTTATATTTTTAAGCAAATCAACATTTTTTAACCAGAGTAAAATTTTACTTTGATTCAGAGTAAACTTTACTCTGATTAGTAAAATTTCTGTGTGAAATTCTTATTAGAGATATTCTTATCAAAGAGAGAGAAATTGAATAGATCATCCATTTTAATAGATCGATCATCCATTAAACAAGCTGAGTATGAACAGATCAATTCAAAAACTAGTAAAAACATAAATCTATATTACAAGGATATATAACCACAAAGCACACAGATCGAAAACTAAACAAAAACATCTAAATATCAACAAAATCATAATCTGATTGAGGTTGCCATTTCGGAGAACACATCCAAATATCTCTTTATTTTTTTATTTTAAAGAATACATGTGTTCAGCAACACTCATACACACAAATATATATACATATATATTCAAAACTCAGATCTGTGTTTAAAAAAAAATATCGTGTATTATACATACATACACTCATTTACCTATATATATATATATATATACACATGTATGTATGAGTCATATATATATACATACATGCACACACATATATATAAATACATACATACACATATACATAGGAAGAGCAAATCAGCGGAGACGTGACGGAGCTTGGCGTGTTCGCCAAAGGGAGCAAATGAAAAGGATCGGACGCCGGCGACGTTGGCAAGGTCGACGTAGGAGTTCCAGAGGCAGTAGCTGAGCTTCTAGATCTGAAGCTTGAAGGAGTTAGAGAATGGAGAGAGGGAGGAGAGAGACAAAGAAGGTGGGGAGAGAGTGGGTGGAGAAGATGGGAAAATTTAGTTGAGGGTATAATAGTCTAATAAAATATTTAAATAATAAATTTTGTCCTTTATAAAAGACTTTATAATTATGAGGGGGTTTAGAAAGTATAATTTTTTTCTTAGTCCTTTTAACAATAACAATGAAAGGAAGGTAAAGGGGGTTTATAGCCAAATTTCCCTAGTTTTTCCCCTCTTCCTCCCGAATAAAGATCCCTCCTTGCATTTCCTCCTTATATTTCCTATTTGCAGGGCTATTGGGCCCACTTTTAGGCCCAATTTTGATAATCCGAACCGTTCATATTTTAAGATTTATTCAGTATATCATACCTATAAAAAATCAAATTGATCGGATATCAGAAAGCATGTGTTCGGAAAACTTGAACTGAAAACTATTTTTTTAAAGAATTTAATAAACAGTTTTCCAAACACATACTTTCTAATATCCGATCAACTTGATTTTTTACAGGTATAATATACTGAACAAATCTTAAAATATGAACGGTTTAGATTATCAAAATTAGGCCTACAAGTGGGCCCAACGGCCCTGCAAGCAGGAAATATAAGGAGAAAATGCAATGAGGGGATCCTGATTCCTTCCTCACATCAGATTTGTTTTTAAATGTTTATTTAATGTTTTGCTTTTTATTCAAATTATAAAGGGTAAATTACAAATACACTTTCCGAGATTTACTTAAATTACAAATTACCTCATGTGGTTTTAGAAATTACATTATGTCTCATAAGGTTTCTAATTTCATAATAAATAGGTCATTCATTAAAAAATCAAGTTAATTAACCGTTTTTAATAATGTTAAAATTATATTTTAATTAATAATTCAGATAATTTTATTATTGTATAGGTGAACAATTAGAAATTTTAATTTTTCAATTAATTTTGTTAAATAAAAAATTCTAACAGAGAGGTATTTATAATTTTTCAAATCATAGAGGACAATTCGTATTTTAAGTAAATCTCAAAGAATATATTATATTTATAATTTACTCAATTATAAAATATTTTTTTTACTATACTGGTGAAAAAAAATAGTTGGTTGGTAATCATGTGTGTAATGTGCATCACGGGGCGCTCGCACACACACAAAGGCCCTGTTTGATGTAACTGTTAAAACAACTTATAGATTATACCTTAACAGATTATAAATTATGATTTTAATCAGAAGTTGTTAATCTGTTTGGTGTAACTGTTGGATTATAGATTTAAGTTGCTGAGTAGTGTTTGTTAAATAAACTGTGAAATAGCTTTTTCAATTAATTTTTATTTTTTGTTTGTCTACATTTCTCATAAAAAAAAAATAATAATAATCTATAGTCCATTTGGGTCTTTTTCTATTTTTAAAAAAATAAAAAATAAAAAAATTTAAGAATAGAACAAAAAATTAACATGTCCACAGCAGAAACTGACAATCAGAAGCAAGGGGTAAACAGCTTCTCAGAATCAATTTTTTTGAGTTAAAATAAGAATCAGAAGCTGTTTGAAATAAGTTTAACTAAACAGTCCAAAATAACTTTTTCAAAGCTAAAAAACATAAGTTATGTCTGAAAAGTTGAAACAAACACCCCCAAGCTAAAACAAACACTCCCAAAATGCATGATGACTGAGACCCCGCCACTCTCATTATTTTTTGATTGGTTGAATTTTTTTGTTTTTTTAGCTCGCAATCAGAGCCCCCCACGTGGAGGTGGGGCCTGCTGGGGTCCAGCAGTGTCACAAAGTAAAATAAAAATACTGGCAGCACGTGCACACGCATCGCGTAGATTAAAAAATTTTAGTTCTTAAAAAATTATTATATGTTATAGATTTATAGCGACTTAACTGTAACATGATCCATGACAACTCGATTATCTCATTATATTCTAAAAACTTCAAAAAACACCCTCCTGCCTTAGCTTCAACTTCAATTTATTTTACTCTATTAACATATGTAATATTTTTCATAGTATACTTTTTTATTCTTATAAAAATAAAAATTGTGAAAACTGAAATAAACATTAAAATTTATTTTTTTTTGGAGGTCTATCTATACTTACACTCTTCTTGTTTGGACAGAAAAAAATTTCTACAAAATGTTTTTTTTTCACATTTTTTGGGTTTTAGTATAATGAAAAATAAAAATCAACAAAAAAATGTTTTCTAGCACCACCACTACTCTCCCCGTTGATGCCACCTGACCACCACCTTCGCCTCTATATTGGTCTCACGACCATCACTACCAAATATTGTTAAAAATTATTTTCCATTCAAATAAACGAAGCTTTAATGTAAGTTATACATAAATAAATAAATAATTTATAACATTCTTTGGTATGTCAAACATTATTAATTGAGTGGATACCTAAGATATGACATTTTGGTTGAAGAAGCTATTAAATCTTCCTTTATCGAGTTGAGACCCAAAAGGAGAGGAGCGAAGAGCCTCTCTCTCTGGGTGATTTCTGCCGCCCCTCCAGTGACTTTTTGGCGAGCTCTTCAAACACTTTCAAGGTGTAGATCTAGATTTTTTATGTGTAAGAAGAGGATTTTGAGAATTTCTCTCCTAATTTCGACATAGATTTTTTGTATTTCGACACCCACAATAGTTCCCTTTTCTCTCAATCCTTCTCCCATACTATTGTGGGTATTCTTCCTA